TGGGTTGTGCTGTGTAGTCTGGTCGATGTTTACCAACGTTTCGGAGGTCATACTGCCTCCATCATCAGGGCGATTCTTTCTAAGTTATCTACGCTATGAAGAGTTCTGTCTTCTGGGTTGTTGCGCTGTGTAGTCTGGTCGATGTTTACCAACGTTTCGGAGTTCATACTGCCTCCGTCATCAGGGCGACTCTTTCTAAGTTATCTACGCTGTGAAGATTTCTGTCTTCTCAGTTGTTGCGTTGTGTAGTCTGGTAGATGTTAACCAACGTTTCTGAGGTCATACTGCCTCCGTCATCAGGGCGAAAAGTTGGTAAACATCGACCATACTACACAGCGCAACAACCCAGAAGACAGAAATCTTCATACTCACCGCTGTGAAAACTTCAAATCTTACATTAATTATTTGAGACGCAATTTTTTGTATTACATATAATCTAGTCTGATGTTCGCTGTGTTATTTGCTTGCGACACCAGATGACACAATGTAGCATTATAATCAATTTGGAAATAAGAAAAACATGGTGTGCCCTAGCATCATACATGAACACAGGAAAATATCGTTTACACAGACAATTAACTCAATTAAATCTGTGAAATGCGTAGTACGTAGCACGGACAAATCAAAGGCTTGGAAAACAACAGAAATAAAAGGAGGAAATCTAAAAAACGTATTAAGGGATTAAATAAATAAAGGAAAAAAATGGGATAACAAAATAATAATAAATATACCTGAGTATTTCAGGACGCAAAGTAAAAATGCTTTCAGGTGTCCTTCACTGCCGATTCATTGTTACTGATTCAGTCCCCTGCATATCGTACCTGCACATAAGAAACTGCTCTTCATTGACATCAGGGCTAATTTCCAGTCCAAGAACAACATAAACACGCTCATAACTATCACCACAATGGACGTCATGAGTAACACTGAGTTTACGATGATCCAAATATTCAGAAACAACGGCTTTTCCTGGGGGCACAAAGAAGAAACAGCCATGTCTGTAATAAACTGAAAAAGGAAGGTCTCTGCTCCTCTGAGTTAGTTCTGTCAGGATTTTTGTTTGAAACGAAAGGAAGAACAGAACACTGTAGCAAATTTTGTTTGAATCCATCGTCTTTAGCAAAGTAAGAGGTCGTACGTATATTATAGAATTGGTAGATAAATCCGTTATATATTCAACACATTATATTCCAGTAACAACTAACTTCATGCGTTGTCTGTAGTTTCTTTGTAAATTGTACTTGACATAAAAATTACATAATATTAATTAATGCATTTAGAACAAGAACACAAGAAACAGAGGTCGTCTCATAAGCGACAACTTACCTTCTTTGCACCGATTATAAGCAACATATTGATGATCATGTTAAGTGAAAACACTGCAATAAGGAATATATACATTCCTGTAACAAATAAAATACGATAATTACTAAATACATTAATGGAATTTATATATTTCATTTTAAAAAAAGATTATAAACTCTGGACCTAAATCTATAAATATTTTGAATGGAAATTTCAACCCAAGAATCCAAAATTATTACGCACAATTCAAGCCTTCCGTCTGCACTGTCAAGGGCAAAGCCTTTCTGCTACGTAACAGTACATGTTAGGGAGTATCAAATCATCCGCTGACCTAGACCGACACACCAAACTAGGCCTCGTCATCAGAAGAACAACTTGGCTGTGAATCCCCTACTCATTATCAAAGCATATTGATAATTTATACAGTGCAAGTTCAAGGGCATCGCGTTCTGTTAATGTTTCCTCTCTGCATTCTACCGCCGTTCCTCAGCAGCTCGTCCTATCGATTGTTACCACAAACATTAGCCACACACTTCGTGCGTGTAGCATCAACACAGTTCGCGTGGCGGATAACGAGCGTTCGGAAAAGTGCGGTCTGGGGCCCAAACTGAGTCACGGAATATGCGAATTTCAGGATGGGGTCGAGATTAAAAATTCTGAATATTTAATATGACTAAATAACAACAAGAAGGAAATATATACTCCAATTTGAAGAACACACAGAACACTTATTTTCCAAATGCGCTGAATTAGACTTCGCATATCCGAAATTGTTTTTAATGTTCATTAATTTCAGATTTAAATATATTATTTGTTGCATACAAATTTATTATTGTTACAGCTCTAATAAACTAGATACATAAAATTTAATGAAACAAGAACATATTTTTCATTAAATATTTAAAATATTGAGAATAACTGATATTAATTTTTCACGGCGGATTGTTATTTATGTTGGACCTGCTTTGGGGGCTGGAACCGTCTTGAAGTTCGTATGTTACCGACGTTTCGCACGATCATACTGTCTCTATCATCAGGGAGAAGCACAATACAACGACCCTTTCTCTGGTAAAGTATTCCTTTCGGGATGAAACTAGCTTGTATCATTATCAAGTCACGGGAATTGACCAGTCAGAGCAATGACTATGAAGGAAAAAATAAAGCAATGTTTGGACTGAATTCTAGCCCGAAATAGATATTGACCCACTCTGGTATCGAACACTTGCATCATAATATGAAATAATGTGCCAGCTGATGCAAGTGTGCCACCCGCCTCTTCAAGACAAAATGTCTTGTTTTTCTCAGTCCGGAAATAACAGCGTATAATCAATTGTTTACGTCGCGTGATTTGTTACAATTTGATTATTTAAAGATGTAGCACTCGAATCACGTAGGCGGGACACATTTCCACAGTAATACTAGCATCCAAGTCCTGAAATGTAAAGGAAATTCTGCATTATTGAACGCTGTGTCGCCTCTCGTCCTCAGTTACCTTCTTAGGCGTCTCTGTATTCGATTTCACACTATTTAAACAGTAACTGGGCGGAAAGAAACAGCAAAGGGAATCTCAGACTAAGATTGACGATTGTGAGTCTCAAAGCAGTTGACGAAGACGCATGTAACTCATCAGTTGTACGTATTTAACGTTAAAGCCGAGTCACGAAGTTCGAACGACTGCCACTCGATGTTTCTGGACGGGACAAGAGCAAGATTTTTTATCCAGAAAGTCAAATTAAACATTTTGTATCGATCGTCATAGTTTTGTTGTTAGTTCCACTGCTTCGTATTCTTCAGCTCCAGGGTTCAAATCTCTAATCGCAGACAAGTACACTGATCGTGGCTTGTGGGTTTTCTGAGTAACTATGGGCAAATGACAGGCTGGTATCTTAAATTAGGCCATGGCTGTTCCAGAGACACCCTTTCCAGCTCATTATTTATTAATAATTTTATCATTCGAAGCTGTAAAATAAGAGTTATTGACAGCAACGTTAAATAAACTGTATATAAATACAATTAAAAACATATTCTGTAGCGTTACCTCAAGCTACTCGGACATTTTAACGCGAATGAAACACCAAACGTCGTGTCTGAGATGTTAGGATTCATACTTCATATCCGACATGATCCAGCTTCAATACTCCTTCCGGAGACATACCGTGATGATTAAGATATGTCATGGTCTCATACTTCGTATCCGACATGATCCAGTTTCAATACTCCTTCCGGAGACCTACCGTGATGATTAAGATATGTCATGGTTTCCTTCAGTCCCTCCAGATTTATGAGCATGTACAAGGTGGAATTATTCACAGTTAATCATTCAGTTTTACACATATTTGATGCTATATAAGCTATGCAGTTGAGAAAGTATTGTTAAATAAAATAAAATGTCACAAGTAGGCCAGACCAGAGCCTACTCCTCAGGGAATCTTTCGATTTAATCTTTACCGTGTCGTGTTCATTAGAAATATTATGCTCGCAAGATATTTCGATTATTAAAACGCAATGGACACTTTCATACTCTTTAAATTTTAAACAAAAACGCACATGATTAATAAGGTCATGGCCACTTGGGCACATTTCTATGGACCAAGCACGTAATGTGTCTGAAAGAGTACGTCACTTTAATTTTTAAGACACCATCACGGCATTTTCCTGGATAGACTGACGAAGACCATGAAAAAAATCTCCTTAAGCATAGTCGATATCGCGACTGATATAGTCCCGGATGTATCCTGAGGGATCCCGCTGTACCAGTGGCAGGATAACCGTCCCGGTCAAAACAAAGTAGAATCCAACATCCCGGCATTTGCTTATCATTTTTATGGTTCAAATATTAATCACGCGCTTCGCAAGTCCTGCACCTGCGCACTAAAACCTCAAATTCAGTAAATGACGTCCCAATGTGTACCTTTTACGCCCTCATCAAGAAGTTCATGCACTTTTCGTTTTTCATCTTCGTCTTCGTCCTCTCTTTCCACTCTCCGTCGTTCATCTTCAGTATTGTTTCTGGAACAATTATGCTTCCCAACGGGATTGTACATCCCATGCAGCAAAATTGGTACTACTGTAAGAACTGCGGAAGAAAAAACCTGAAATGTAAATACGATTTGTTTGTGTGAGCAACAGAAGTTGGAGATACGTGTATAAGAATTTAAGGAAGGAGCCTAAGATGTAACGACAACACAATTAAATGATTTTATTCCTATATTTCAAAAATAATTTTTGTTTTATGCTTCCAGGGCATGCCCTTCTGTTCCGTAAATGTAACGGTATCCCTAGTGCTTAATTAGGGACCAAACCATGCAGACGTGTGGTGGAGTGGAGGTATAGCTCCATGCATTCTTAATCTTGGAACTTATTTAGTAATAATCCAAATTTTGGATGGTGGCATATATAAGATTTGAAATCCGTGTTGCTCCCGATGACAGATAATAAAGAAGAAATTTACAAAAATGGGGTACAGTCAAGTATATACCCAAAAATTAGGTGGAAAAATTGGCTTCTCGCAGACACGGAGTTGTGACATTCACAGTGCCAACGGAAAAAACAAACATCCGGAAAGAATCTACACTTTACCCTAAACCTATGTTATCCTTGCAACACCAGACGCCATTTCATATAGGTCCAATAGCTGGCTACATAACGGCAAGAATTCGTGTCACCATAACGTCGATGCCTTTTAGACAACCATAAGATTACTTACACGATCTCTATACTTATTTATAATCTCACATTTTTCCATCAGTTGGATCAGTCTTCATCACGAAATAGAAAGAGCTAATTCGTACCTTGCGTGACCGCCATGTTGGTACTGTTAAGTCACACGAAACGAAGTTAGTAAGAGTTTCGCGGAATTATCACGACTAGAAAGAATGAAATTTAGAATTAATGTGTTGTGAATATCTACTTATCTACTCTTAATTTAAAATGGCTGTCTTCTGGATTGTTGCGTCATGTAGATGGAGGTAGCAAGGACCTCTGAAACGTCGGTAAACTTCTACCAGACTAAAAGGGGCAACAACCCAGAAGACAGTCATCTTAAAACTCACCGCCGTGTAAACCTCAAATCCTACTCGTAATCCACTCCTTCCATACCAAGAACTCTTAATGCGTGTATTATTTTAGCATGGTGATGTCAACTTACAAGTTATCACAAAGAATACAGTTTATAATTTTATAATGGTTAGTCCGTAGTCCCGATGTTGTAAAAGAAGAAGTCTGTGAGCGGGTTTCTGTTTCTACTCAAATCAGAACAGACGTGTTATTGAAGGTTATATCTCGTTTTTAGCATTTAAAGAGCTAGATAATTTCAAACGCTAGTGTTATTTTTTACATACATTTTCTATACACTTGGAACAAGACATTTTTGTGTCCTGATACGTTCATGTCTCGTCGTACAGAAGGTGCTAATGGAACTTACAATATGACATAAGGCAATACTTATGGCCCCTGTCTTCAGAGTACATCCACAGCAACACTGGTTCACTTTAGGCCCCATTGTGATATTCCTTTAGTTCCTGAAAACATATCGTTTCTTCGTTATTTCACTCCGGTTCATCGGAAAACAAAAATTTGATACATAATATAAAAATAAATTTAATTAAGGCATTCAACTTTTACTTTATTCTATCAAGAGTTGAGTATTTAATTAAATAGAAAAAATACGCAGATTAGTATAATTACAAAATAATTACGAGGTGCGATCGGAAAGTTTAAAGACTGTGTCAATAGAGGGCGAACCGGATGTAGTACGAGCTTCTGCCTTTAGGGGGTGCGGCCTACATTCATATTGAATCAGTGTGCCAGCCGGCATCATCGAATTAGCATTTGTTTCTTAGTTACGGGCGTTTTGGTAGTGCATTACACCGACCCTCCTGCTACCATCAACGACTTGTGCGACATTGTTGGGATAGGCTATGGGACCTGTGAGCTGATTCTAAAGGAAGAACTCCACATGCGACGCATCGCAGCCAAGTTTGTGCCAAGGCTCCTGTCTGAGGACCAGAAGCAGTTCGGCAGTTTTTGGCCTCAAACACCATGGCCGTCATCCCGCACCCTCCTTATTCGCCGTGTGCCTTCTTCCTCTTCCCAAAGATGAAAATTCAGCTAAAGGGAATGAGATTTGAGACGATAGAAGAGATTGAGGCAGAATCGCAGATGGTGCTTGACAGGCTGACCAAGAAAGATTTCCAGGGATGCTTCCAGGCTTGGCAGCGGCGCTGGGATCGTTGTGTTCACTCCCAGGGGAACTACTTCGAGGGTGATGGATGAATTTAATACCTGAGATAAGTGTACGGGTTTTTATAGGCGCAGTCTTGAAACTTTCTGATCGCACCTCGTATATTCTCAAAAATAGATTTATATCTACAATAAATGAGTGAAGCCTAAACCTGAAAGAATGCATTTAAGAAATGTGTGACTACATTTATGCTCACACTTTTGCTACAATGGTTATGACTACATCGATTGAAGTCAGAATTATTAACTTAAAATGGGCAATCTGAAGACATTTACTTTGGTTTATTTTTAAATACCCCAAGAAATATTTAAACCGTTTCAACTTGATGAGGTTTGATATTCTCGCGCAGTTAAGATGTCGATTTTCGCCTACTGGGTTGTAACGCATTGTGAATATGCACGTAGTAGATACAAAAATTTAGATGGATCATACTGCTTTCATCTTCAGACCTGCAGCACACACATACAGGTCCACACAACGTTTGAACTCAGAAGAAGAATATAGTTACAAAAGTCAGGCCCCTTTTCCGAATGAGTCATACGATGTACTGAGTTGAACAAGATGAACAGATAGATAATGATTCAGATTACACAGACCCTTCCAGTCATTTGTTTTGGCGACATAACTTAAATTATATGGATCTTTTCCATCTAGTTTATCGCACAAGTGACACGCTTTGCGTGAGAGCTCCGAGTTCGTCAGTAATTAGGTTACTAACGCGAGTAGGCTAAAATTTCTTCATAATAGACCTACATACTCAGCTACAATTCAAGATCATAACAAAATAATGTAACGCATCGATTTCATGGAAATTTCCACTAAGGGTTTCCCACTTCTACACTGCACCTGAATTACGTGTGCACTGACCTGGTTTAACAAAATTGCAAACGCTCCCTTCTTAATTAAAGTAATTTCACTTAGATAGGAGTAAAATTCTGAAACACAAGGTCAATTTGTTTTACCATTATTTATTTATAATATACTACTCATTTCGGAATCATGAACATTTATAATCAGAAAGTTGTAACGCATCTATTTCAAGGAAATTTAACGTCAGGTGATTCAGCTACTAAACTGTAGGTGAATTTCATTATGTTCACACTAAAGTAGCTTAATCTTTTAAAACCCAGTGGTAATAATACGCACAACATACTTTAAAAATCGGTAACTGTGCTTTTCGAATTATGGGCTTTATATGGTTCGGCGTAGAGACTATTCCCTTACACATCTTAAACCAATTGCTATTTGCAAGTTATACGTCTTGTTTTCTTCGAGGGTACGAGCTAAATTTAGACAGGTATCGGATTCGAAGTGTTACAGAACTTTCAACCACTTTCTACCAAATTAAGATCACATAGATAATATGACAGACGTTAATTTCTGAAAGACGGAGGAAATTAGTTCCACATTTTTGTAATTTTACAATTTAAATAATGATTAAAGTAAATATACAACAGGACGGTTATGTCCATCCGTCCGCAACTTAACAAATTTACATTTTTTGGTATGAGAGTTTTATTCAAATGGCTATTGGAGGGCTGTGAATAGGAACTATTCAGAGGATATATTTTCCTTTGCACGTCGTTCAATGTAAAAAATCCAATATACAAATTCTCAGTTGTGGATCATGTAGCCGTTGAAATATGAAGATAGAGGCGACACGTTTCTCCGAAAAAGTGTTAACCATCTACACGAAATCATAATCTAGGAGACTGCAGTCGATAACTCGACAGCGGCAAGAACATCAAATCTCAGACAAATTTCAGATGTAAAGAAGTTACTCGTTATTTTCATGAAACAACGTCTCCTACACTGGGATCTTTTGAGGAAATCGAGGAAAGTTTTGTGCTTTATTTGGAACGAAACGAAATTATATTCACCGAACAAAATTTGGCGTAGACCAACAAAGTACATTTCGTCGAAATCCATTTAGTAGCCTCAGAGGTCATACATGCAGACGGACGGACGGACGGACGATTATGTTTTAATTTCATGTACGTTCTGCAAATAAAGCATATAAGTTATATGAACCGGATATGTGAAACAGTATAGCATACAATTAATACACCGTCTGGAAGTAATTTAATTCTTACTGTTCGACACAGCAAAAAGTTTTAAACACTTACTGGGAAGAAAGTTTCCGGAACCACGTCAAATACTTTGCTAGTCTTCATTACAGGCATTCAACAGGTACATTAAATATTTTACATTTCACTCAACGAACCTTCACAGCACATGATTTCAGATCAGCTGTGGAGAAACAGCTGTAGCCGGTTGGCTGTACTACAGAACTGCACCAAGACGATCGAAAGTCACAGAAATACTTGCGTTCAGTGCTCAGTCACGAATGGCTTGACCCACTGCCGTCCGAGACTAAGCTGGGCCAATGCGATTCATACGTAAGCGATCAATAAAGTGTCCGACTTACGCGGACAAATTATCATTAACCGACTATTCGGGAGCTTCATTGTAAACTCATAAAATAATAATGAGAGAAAGTGAGATCTGTGGTTTTCAAGGCGGTGAAAATATTAGCCCTGAAGACGGAAGCAGTATGTTCCTCCGAAACGTATGTACCTACAAGTCCAATTCACATTTCAACTCAGAATACCAACTTCCACACGGAATGCTGTAGATTTTATTTAGATTCGGAGGACACGTTTTAAAAAATTATTTATTTGCAGTTTCGGACACTTCGCGATATTTGATTTTATTTGTTTGTGGTTTATTTAACGACGCTGTTATTAGCTTCAACTTTTCAGCGTTAAATGATCGGATAATTTATGTGATTTCTGAAAAAGCTTTGGTAACTACTGTCTCAGAACGCGTAATATCGGTGTTAACAATTAAAAGATATTTTACTGATATTTAACAAACTAATCTACTATAGTGTGAAGTGAAATCGTAATTATCAAATTACATTATAATACGGACGGTGAGTCTGTTAAAGTATTGATGCGTCTAGCATTTCAACAAACCTGAAACTGCGAGAATTAAAGGTTTATAAAATAGACACTACTACTATTTCCTGTTTCTGAGAAGTACGTTAACTTAACTGAAAAAAAATTAATATTTCCTACAATAAATATCACCATAGTTTTCAATTGAACTCAATGATAAATATATTTAGATAATCATATCATGAAACATTGTAACCTGCAGTCATCAAAGGAATAGTTTAGCGTGTCACTTGAGAAAACGGAGTTATAATTATGAATCTGCGTTATTCTCATGCCACTCTTATAATCACTACCCATAAAATCTCTCCAGATTTAGGTTACATCGGCCATGAGTCGTTTCCGCAAACATGCTGACAGCTTTCAGGCGACAGTCAGAACGTAAATCGCACGTGGAACTGAAGCCATTTAATGGAACATGTGACAAGCGGCGGGAATCATTAATTCATGAAATAACACTGTCCAGGACAATGATCAGTAACAACTGTACAGGTTCTTCTCTGTTTCATTTGTTTAGCATTCTCGTGGTATGTGAACAGGTGGAAAATGTTAATGATAGAGCAAGATGCTGAACTATGGGAGACCTAGCGAAGTAGCAACTAGTGTTCATATATACTTCGTCACGCTTAGACACACTTTTCAAATCTTTGTCCTATTTTAACGCTAATGGTGACCTCTCTTCACGCCCTTATTTCAGGTCACGACTAGTCACGCTTCATTACGCTTTGTCACGCTTTGTCACGCTTGGTCACGCTTTGTAAATCTTCATCACGTTTCGACATATTTGGTGATCACTTGTCACGACGTGAACGCATGTAACGCCGAGTCACGCTTTGTCACGCTTGGTCACTAAATCACATTTCGGCACGCTTAGATTGTCACGTAGGTCTCAGTTAATTTTTGCTACTTTGCAATACGGTAAATGAAGTTACAACAGGTTAGATTAGGTTGGGTTAGGTTAGTTAACGTTTTGAATATCTTCGTCACGTTTCGACACTTATGACATCTCGTCACGCTGTTATATTTCGTCAAGCCTAGTCACACTTTGTCACGATTGGTCACGCTTTGTAAATCTTCGTCCCGTTTCGACACTTACTGTGATCCATTTTCGGATGTCTAAGCACGTCACGCCTAGACAGACTTTATCACGCTTGGGCAAGCGTGGTCACTAAGACACGTTTCGGCACGCTTACGTTGTTACGTAAGACTCGGTTAATTTTTGCTAATTTGCAATAAGTTAGGTGAAGTTACAACAGGTTAGGTTAGGTTATGTTAAGTTTAGTTAGTTTAGGTTAGGTTTAGCTAGGTTAGGTTAGTTTGT